TGGTGGTGACGTAAAGTAGCGCAGTACGAAACCTTAACTTCCTCCACCTCCCTGCAGGAACACTTCTTTACCCCAGCGGTGTTTGGGGAGATCATCTACGAGAACTTTCTGTTTGACATTCCCAAAATTTTGGATCTTTGTGTGCTTTTTGGAAAGGGTAACGGCCAGCTGCTGCACAAGATGATAGGTGAGCTGTGTGAGAAATCTTATTTATGTTTCGTACCGGTTGTTGCACTCTGCTCACTTTCAACATGACGGCCTTTCAGAGAACATCTTCACTCAGCAGCCGTCCTACTACAACGACCTGGATGAGACGGTGGCCACAGTTTTACAGGCGAGAGCCCACTTTTTGCATTTCACTGAAAAATATCCAAATGTCACAATTCCAAATGAAAAGCACGTTGTTTCTGTCGGAGAATATTTGAATGAACTTTTAACACTGTGTCAACTTCAGGTATTTGACACGATCCTGGAGAAGTGTGGTCTCCAGTGTGAAGGAGCCACCGCTGCAGAGCCAATGAAGCTGAACGCACACAAAAAACCCACTGCCATGACCATGAGCCAGCAGGTCAGTCACTTCATATGTGTAACAATATGCAGTTAAATAAATAAAAAAACTGAAACATCTGCGATCCATGAAGGAGACCACATCAGGCTGGCTAACTAAAAGAAAGTGACACAGCTGTGCAGTGTGAAGCTGAGTTTATGAAGTGGTCCATCTTCTTACGATCGAGCCTTCGACTGAACAGATGCAGATTTTCAAAGTCCTTATTGGCACATCGTGTTTGTGCTGAAAGGGAAATGATATCCTTCTTATTAAAACCATCTTAACTGTCGGTTCTCCGAATCGTGCTGGTACGTTGCTGTGAAGTGCGGGATGGTATTATCTCCGCCCCTTTCATAAAGGTTGGTCCAGTTTATTTGCTGCTAAATAAGGTGTGAAAGAAGGATTGAAACTCTTTTTTTTTTTCTTTTTTCTTTTTTGTGAGTACAGTGGGTCACTTCCTGTCGCTGTTTTTTTAAAAAAAAAACATGCTGTCATGTTCATTTGTAGCAGCTGTGGATGATAAGCAGAAGAAAAGGTGCTTTCATTGGGATTAAGGTTAAAAAACAGATTACAGAAGCTACAAGAATCAGTTTGTTTCACTGGTTTGGTCACAGTCTCCTAGTGTTGTGCAGCTCTCTTCAAATAGAGCTCAGATTCAGAACCTCGCGATAACCTTCTGTTCACCCAGGATCTCTTCCATCTAAAAGCCAGCTGTCTATGAGCCGTGCCTCACCTTTAGTGCTCTAGCCCAGCGGTTTCCAACCTTTTTTGCACCACGGACCAGTTTATGCCCGACAATATTTTCACGGACCGGCCTTTAAGGTGTCGCGGATAAATACAACAAAATAAAACTAGTACTGGTACCCAAAAAAAGAAGATTTATTCATAACACACGTGAAAAGACCCAGGAAAACCGAGTTAACGATAAAAACGATAACAAAATAACGCTGAAAACCGATAAAAACCCTGAAAACTATACATTTCACACCTGAGCCTCAACTCTCGCGGCCCGGTACCACACGACTCACGGACCGGTACCGGTCCGAGGCCCGGGGGTTGGGGACCGCTGCTCTAGCCTACTAAACATAGGTCGTTATTATAGGAACAGATCTTTGCTCAGTCATTTCAAGATAAAGGCCTGTACCTCGGTGGTGCAACTGGCTTAACTTCTAGGCTGACCTCAGTTCTACAGAAGGTATTCTGATTGATAATGTCTTTTATCATTTCTGTCGTAGGAACTGTCAGATATAATTTTGTACCTGTGTGACTCAACCACCACCATCAATGCCTTCCTGGACATCTTCCCCGCAGCCTGCACCAGCTTCCAGTCCCACAGCTTCCTCAGCAGGTAGTTACCCTGAAAGTTTACCATGAGTCGTACCTCCATAAAACCTTCTCACGATCTTTGGGTTTTCTCTGCTGGCAGTCTGACCTCGTTTTATGAGACCGGTGTGCCTGACCTCGAGAAGGCGATCAGGAAGAGAAACTTTGACGATAAAAGGTGAGCGTCTGCTGCGTAAAGACAAAACCAAGTGCGAGGGGAAACGTTTAACACCTGAGCGATGACAAACTTTCTTATAGTCTTCAGGAGGACCTGTGGAAGAGGCTGTCTCACTCCTGTCGTAAGATGGTGGAGACGGTGCACCTGCTGCTGCACCACACCTGCCTACAACCAATCCTGGAGGGGTGAGACGCCCAGAGTTTTTGCATGGAGATTAGCACGATTAGCATTACACGTTTAAACAGACACACCCATTAAAACTTCTACTGGTTTCCTCGCAGGAGAGAAAACATGCAAACATTTGCAGAGGAACTGCTGCAATATTTCACATCATTTTTACCTGAGAAAAGGTGAGATGGACGATTAATAATTTATCTCAGACTATAAGCCAATATTATAATGGTTTAGAACCATAATAAGCACGTTTTCAAACAACTGGTACAAGTAAATAATGAAATATTAAAATTAACACTGAGAAACTTCATCAGTTACTCACACTGACTTATTGTTGGAGCTGATTTTCTTTGGAAAGTTTGAAACCTTTTCAGTGTTTTGTCGTTCAGTATACGGGTTATTCTGGTTTTTGCTTGAACTCTCTGATTGCTGCTGTAATGAGAAATGTCATCAAAACTTAAATTTAACATGTTTCTTGTTCCTTCCAGATTCTTGACAGACTACGATGAGCAGTTCCCTGTTGCAGACGACATCAGCCTCCTGCAGCAGGCCGTCCCTGTCATGTATCCTCAGGCGCTTCACAGCAGGACATTTCTAAAGGCTGTTATGACTAACAGTAGCCTGAAAGCACTCACGCAAACAGTTTAACAACACATGGCCACAATTTTCAGACTTACAAAGAAAGCTGTTGCTACAGCAACCATTGAAAGCCTCAGAAAACTGCTGAGCCTTCACTGTTAGCTTTCCCTATGAGCTATGTGGGTTTTAGACGTACTCGTTTTAAGTTAAAATAGTAGACCCTGTTTCAAAGTTCACTAATGCCATTAACAAAATGTAAAGAGACCACCACTGTGGTTTGCATTAAGTTTATATCTGCATTCATATCTGCAGTTACGGAAGGACTGGTGTTCTAGTGGACCACACTCCAGGAAGTCACTAGAAAACACCAACTTCCAGAAATAAACCACACTCGGTTGCATTGTGTGGGTTGTGTTGCACCGTCTGATTGCTGTAAAATAAACCGTGCGGCACAATCAGAATATCTGCATATTTGTGGGTGAGAGATAAAGAGGCAGAGAGGAAGTTCATTTCTCACGTGCACCTTAAAGAGAAAAGTCAAAAATACCAAATCACTGATTACTACGTTTACATAATTAGTGATAAAGTGATCAGATTTCCTCCTTTATTATATTTCCGGGCTGTTTTACGTGTTCTGGTAAGAGCAGGAACATTAGATGGTTGTTTATCAGCAGATAATGGTTGGAGCATTTATCTGTTGAGCTGAGCGAGTGTGTGCTGCGTGGGCTCAGCTTAGAGTAGAAATACAGTGTTGATAATTGAAGTGAGATCCAGGAGCGCTCATTTGGCCACTTATGGTGAAGCATTTTCATTTCATGAAGGACTTTTAACTTTAACTGGTGATAATACAGTTTATATTTTCAACAGTGGCATTATTGCACTATGTGGTGTTTTTTTAATTAAGTAATTAAAAACACATGAGAATTAATTTCATCCTTTATCGTCTCACATTGTAATATCGTAATATTAAAGCTTCTTAGGGTTCAGCCTGTTGCTCTGATGGATGATGGGATGGATCTTAAATCTCAAAGCCAGTCACTTTATCATCCAACACTAAGCCAGACTTGGGTCTTAGTGTTGGATGATAAAGTGACTGTTTTCCTCGGTACCTTCCTTAACCACCTTCTGCCTCAGTGATGAGACCAGGACGTCCTACTTGCTCCAGGGAGTTGAAAGTGCCTGGGACAGCGTGGGGCGACGGAAACCACAAAGCCAGACTCGGACTAGTCAGGCTCAAGCTTCTGCATCGCCATCGGCCAATCGGGGACCAGCAGCTGGTGCTGCCGCTTCCTCTTCGGCTGGCTCTAAACCTCAGGAGGTCAGAGAGCCAGCAGAAGGAGAGAGTGCGAGGGGAGCAGAGGCCATGCTGGATGTCCCCCAAAGAGGAAACAATGTGAGCTCTGTGATTGTTACCGCTCAGTTAATGCACGATTATAGCAGCCCAGATTTTCTTTATATATCCTGTTAAAATGGCCAAAGTTTTAAATAATTAGGTCAGCAAAGCTACTGCGATGGAGTCTAAAACCAGCCTGCCTTTGACGCGGTTTCAGGGCGCCGTGTGTCCACTGATCGGGGCGGAGCTGGAGTCTCTGCTGTCGTGTATCAGGGATCTACTTCCTGATTTGGGTGAAGGTTTCCTGCTGGAATGCCTGAAGGAATACAACTACAACTCCGAGCTGGTCATCAATAACATCCTGGAGGACCGGTTAGCTCCCAATCTGGCCAAACTGGACCGAGCCATGCCACGGTAACACAGCGAGAGATTTATACATAACGCTGATATTTATCATCTGCTCTGTGATCTGACATTTATAGCAGCGTCTAACATAACATTTCTTTATCTAGATAATTTGATATGTACTTTACTTATGGCGTAATCCATAATAATGTGGGATCATATGAAATCTGTCACTGAGAGGCTGCAGTGGGCTAACAGGCTCACAGGCTCCATTTCTGCTGAGACCACAGGGTCAGTACATCTGAGCCAGCCTGGCTTGTGCCAACAGTCCAGCCTGCTGCAGAAACATGTGTTTTATTATCTTCATTCGTGTTTTTAATGCTGCAAATTATACTTCCCAACCTTAATAGCCACAGTTTTCCATTACCTGCACACCACAAAG